GCGATGGGGGGAGGTGGACGCAGGCACGAATGCGGGGGAAGCAGGCGCAGGCATGGACGTGCTCGGGTGAGACTGGTGCGAGCGTGCACATGCAGGAAGGCGGGGAGGCTGCAGGCACGTGCACGTGCAGCAGCAGCTTGCTCGCTCGAAGCTCAGTAAGAAAAGTGGGGGGTATTCTATACATGGGGGCATCTTATAGTCGGAAAAATATGGTAATTCCTCTGTATGCAAGTTGATCTGGACTGCCAGTAAATCCTCCGTAGACTTCATTTTATAACATTGGTCACTACAGTATAGATGTGATAGGTGCTAAAATGGATCTATTGGTGGGGGGGGATTGGGCTTCCTCCACCCCCATGTTGTAAGCCGCCCCGAGGCTTTGGCGAATGGGGCGGCATAAAAATGTTTTAATAATAAAATAAAATAAAATGGTGGGGATTTCCCTGAGGGGTCTTGAGGACATGGCACCAAACCCACCCCAGCGCAGGAGCTGTCCCTATCTGTGGTGATGGACCGCTCCCATTAGTGGTCTCTGTCATGGTGAGTCTCTGGCCATGCCATTCACACCTGTACTCCTGACATGTGATGTGGGCCACATCCTATGCCACTGCCACATCTATTCAACCAGAAGTCAATAGAGCTGTGGCCAGTGTACTCCTCCTGCTAAATCCGGGTCTAATTTGTTCCCTTTCCTTCATCACTCTGGCTCAGATAAGTGCTCCCTGTACACACATGTCATTTACAAGTAACTGCTAAGATTCTAGAGAGTCTATGAACAATAATAACAATGAAAAATATAATTTGCATCATAATAAAGTATAACAAAGCAAGTTTTGTGTTTGAGAGGATTTTATTTTAATTTAGTCATATTTGAACAGTCTTACCAGACAATCTACATGTACACTAGCTCTAAATAAAGTTTTTTGGAATTTCAACCATATTGTTGTCATCCAAAGGAGAATGCAAGCTAACCACTATGGCCCACTGGCTCTCTTCAGTTCTTGCTCAGCCACATTTAAGCAGCTACAAACATGAACACAACAGTTGAGGGCCAGTGTGGCATGGGGGTTACAATGTCGGCCTGGGGACCCAGGTGACCTACATTCCAGTCCCCATGGGGCCATGAAGCTAATTGGGTGACTCAGGTTCAGTAACTCACTCACTCTCAGTCTAGCCTACCTTACAGGGTTGTTGTGAGGACTATGGAAGCTAGCTTGGGTTCCTCACAAGGAGAAAAAAGGAATGACATACATGTAATGTAAGAATAAGCAGGAGCAGCAAAAAAATACAGTGGTACCTTGGCTCATGAACTTAATCCGTTCCAGGACTCTGGTCGTGACCCAAATTGGTCATGAGCCAAGTTAAATTTCCCCATAAGGTTCAATGTAAATAAGGTTAATCTGTTCTGCAACCATTTTTTAAATCACAAAAATATGAAGCAAAGTGAGAACAACAAAGATTGCGGCCATCTCCCCCCTCCCCCACCCCCACCCCAAGCACAAGCGTGGCCATCTCCCCGACCCCCAGCTCAACCGAGATCGTGCCTGTCATCCCTGCACACGTCTGTCATCCCAGCAGGTGCCCATCATCCTGGTGTGCTGGGGGGTGGGGGGGGGGAGAGACGGGCGTGATCTCGAGCACACTGGGAGAGGAAGAGATGGGCACAAACAGTACGCTGTGGGAGGGAGAAATGGTCGCGATCGCTGCTGGTTGTATGGGGGGAGATGGCCGCGATCGCAGTTCCGTTCATGCATGGAAGGCATGCCTGAGCAGAGGCGCACTCCTGCAGGAAAGACAGGGGGAATCTTGGCCATCTCCCCCGTGGCTCTGCTTTGCTGCTCCTGTCTTTCCTGCAGGAGCTCGCCTCTGATCACACATGCCTTCCCTGCACGAAAGCAACTGCGATCGTGGCCATCTCCCCACTTGGGGCGGGGGGGGGGGGGAGATTGCTGCAAACTGGTTGCCACCCAAAGCGGTGTTCATGACCCAAGTCAAAATGTTTCAGAAATTTTTGTTCGTGACCCGATTTGTTCATGAACCAAAGCGTTTGTGAGCCGAGGTACCACTGTAAGCTTCTAACATGAGAGGGCAGGATGGCCACATGACGTCCAACCAAATAAAACAAAGAGGAGGCCTAATGGCAGCAAACCGTTCAAAGACACAGAGCAGACTTAGCCCTGGAATGAGCTGTTGCTATGACCCTTGAAAATAAGGGGGATGAGGTGCCCTCAGAATTAGCCAATATCTCAGCAACCATGGTTGCAACTTTGGAAACAGGTAAAGCACAGAAAGCAAAAATACTGGAATTTACGTTAAAGAAATGATATAAAGGCTGGTGAATTTCAAAAAAAGAAGCTGCCACATGAGTATACAGCCTACAACATTCCAGAATCATAAGAAGATAATTGATGGCAAGATTTTCAGTACGTTTGCCCAGTGGCTCATTCCCAGTCATTTACGGTCATCCAACTCAAAGGGGCAAGCAGAGTGGACACACTAAATACTAGGCCCAGAACCCAGGAAGTTGTTCAACCTGGAGATGTTGCTGTTGGTCACTTTAAGTTTCAATATAAAAGAAGCCTTAATGAAAGGGTAGCAGAGATTATGAATAATCAAGCAAAAGGAGAAACCTGTTAATATTTTTCAAGACTTTTGTCTTGAAACATTAAGGAAAAGAAGAGCCTTGCACCCTTATACAGAAAGATTACAAGAAGTCAAAATTCAATATAAATGGATAAATGGTTTCCCTTTTCGTCTGCTCTTCGGTTTTCATGAAACTACACATGCTGTCTGTCCACTGTAGGTGGAGTTGCTAATCCTTCTGAAACAGAAAACTCCAGAAGAAGGTAGCATAGATGATGAAGAAATACGAATAAGCTGAAGAGGAAGCACCAGATGGAAAGGAAAATAAGGAAGGCAATGTTTCAACAAAGAAAACACAAGTCAGAGGAAGTGGGAATACAGGAAGTGAGAGACAGAAGTGTGGGATCTTTCAGAGCTTGCTGGAAATAGGAAGCTGAACAAGATAGATTAGAAAAACAGCAAGGTATTGAGGGCTAGAAATATATGAACTGCACAGACAAATACTGCAAATCACTTGTAACACTTTATTAAACAAATTGAAGATAAATATTAGAATGACTTTGCAGAAAGAGAAGTAAGAAACAAGTCTGATATGCACACCTTTCTTAAGCCATGCAAGGAACAAATAATGCAGAGTTCTAGATGATCATTGCTACTGTCTTTGATCTATTTTTGTTATAATCAGAGGTAGGCACAAAAGCACAGGTGCCCAGATAAAGTATGAGAGAAAAATATAAGATAACTATAGGGGACTTTTTAGACTTAAACTCCCGTAAAAAATATTCTGCCTCCCACAACCTGGGAGAGTCATATGCATGGGTCATATACTGACAGTTAGGACCTCTAGGGTATGGAATGGGCTCCCATGGGAGGTGGTTGAAGCCTCATTCGTGAGGGTGTTCAAGGATACGCTGGACATGCACATGGCAGGCATGTCATGAGCAGAGCCAGCTGCAGCCAGTGGTCAGACTAGATGGCCTGAGAGACCCCTTCTGACAACTCACTCTGTTTCTATGTTTCTATGTTACTGTCTCCCAAGGCTCAAGTGTGCCTCCCTAGACAGTCCTTCCCATCACAACACCCCCGCCACCCACACACACACTTCCTATCAATTTACTGGCGTATTTGCTACCAGTACTTGTTTCCCTAAAAGGGTTTTTCTGTGTCTTGATCCTCATGGTTGCTATTTTTGCAGCCACCATCACTGCACTGTTACCCCTCTGAGAGGTCACTCAGGCAGCACTCTTTGAGGCTCTTTGAATGCAGTCCAAGACAGTAAGGGGGGCTCAGTGAAACCTAGAATCAAGCCATGTTGTCACCCATTTTTCCCCATTCATGTCCGGATGCTTTACCAACACTGCTACTAGCGTCCTCCATTTCTGTGATTGCTGCTTGTCTCAGAGCAAGAGTAGTCTCAGTGACAATCACTGAGGAATGGCAGAAGCTTCCATTTCCCATTCCCCAGAGATAAAAATCTAGAAGGATGGCAGGCTTGGCTTAATAATTTGAAATGAAGAAAATGAATAATGAAATAAAAATATTTTTCATTTATATCCTGCCTTTTTTAAGAACTCCAAGCAAGTACAGCATTCTCCTGCTGCTGTTCTTAATCTTATTGCCACAACAACCCTGTGAGGTAGGTTGGACTAAGAGTCTGTGACTGGCCCTAAGTCACCCAATTGGCTCCATGGCTGAGCAGGACTAGAAACAAGATCAACTGAGTCCCAGTCTGGCACTCCTAACCACTCAGTTGACTAAGAATAAAATAAGGAGGACTGGACATCCAGAACATTCAAGTACATAATGGAACCTTTGCTAAAATCCCTCATTAAAGTGAAACATAGAATTGGCAAGCCCCAGTTTTCACTCTCACAAAATATATTAAGAAAAATCAGACAGTGAATAATCCATTTTAAGATGTACCATGAGTATATGAGGAAATGGCACCAGATACTTCACCACTTCCCCCCTTATTAGACCATCCACCCTTTTATAGTCAAGATGAACATCTAAAACATTGTGGGAGTTTTATGTTAAGTAGCACGTATTATCTGGAAATTATCTTCAAGAAAAAATATAAAGAACATCAGTATATAGGCTCTGAAGATAGCCAATAATATATCAGCTAAAAGAAGATTCATTAATCCAAAACACTTCCCTTTCCCAAAATAGTTTCAAAGATTTGTCAAGTGTTGCTTGAAAAAAGCATTAATTTCTCCAGAAGGATTACAATTAACATGAAGGAAAGGACTGGGGTACAGAAAAGAAAGGAGAGAAATGGGCCACAATACAGGGAAAAGTGATTGCTGTATTCTGTTCTGGTTGTAAAGAAGGTATGCTCTCTTCAATAACCCCATGGTAATAAATAATTGAATGAAATAAATAAGTATATAATAAATTTTTAAATGTTATATCACACCATTTGGAACCAGTGTGGGAAAAGAGGTTCACATTACCTTATGTGGTGGACCAGCCCATTAGTGAAGGCATTTAAGGGATGAGATTGTGAAGAAAGTTTCAATATTGTGTCATGATTAATATTCATGAGAAGTGTAAATATAATGCACAAATCATTGCTTATGATTTGGGATACAGTGGCTAAACTAGTTCTGACAAGGCATTGAAGAGGTAAAGAAGTAGACATAACTTGGCATTAAAAATTGTGGGATTTCACTTTGATGGAAAAATCAGATATATCTTGTCAGAGGAACAGACACCTTCTTTTCAGTTTGGCAAAAATTTATTTATGTTACAAACTAGATATTTAACAGAAAGAGCATCACTAGTATCATATAGTTATTTATGGACTGACAGACAAAATTGAACCAAAACGCATTAAGCAAAAACAGACAGATGAACAATAGTTCCATAGTGAAATCTCTGGAGTGAGTCTCACAATTACGGTCACTATGGACAGGAGAAAAAAAAGTGAGATTATTGTATTATTATTCAGAGCAAAATTTCTGTTCTGTAAAGCTGAATAAAAATATGATTAAAATATTGTCTTCTGTAAGGTCTGAATAGCTGCTTGTTAAGACAGTTTTCACTTAGTACCTGCCTGAACTCTCAGCTATCACACTGTTGTAGGCTTTTGTTAAAAAATGACAACAGCAGCAACTAGCCCTTATTGACTAATCTGAGTGCATTATATTTTTATGGGAGTAGGAGGTGCAGTGGGAGGTGAGAAGAGGGCTGCCTCTAGGCTTTTCTAGAGCTGGTACTTAAAGATGTTTTATAAAGGGTGCTGAACGGAAACAAAAGTGCTTCTTTACATGAGCATGAGTAGATTCTGATTCTTGCTACTTGCTGGACATACCCAACAGAGGAAGAACTGGAAGGATTTGAGTAAGACCAGTCAAGAAGCTAGGTGCTATAGCAGGATATAAAGCCCCTTGAAGGAGACTGGTAATGCATGCTGCTTGCTTTTGGAGGAATTGACACTGCTCTCCCTGCACAGCTGCTCGAGCTTCCCCTATCTCCATGGGTAGTTTAGATTTTCAAATAAACTGAATGACAAAAACACCATGAGGAACATTCCTCAAAAAGAGCTCCACCCAGTACTGCAGGGCAAGGGATCTTTTTTCTGTTCATTGCTACATTTCTTCAGGGGTCATTTGTCAGGGACCACATGCCAGCAGTGGCCAGGATCAAAGCTGGCAGCTGGCAAAAAGACCCAAAGTAGGCTGCATTCTTTTTGGCACATGCATTCTTTTTCTTTCTGCCACCCCATCTCTGTAGATCTGTATTAGGACAGCATGAAACTAGATTAAGGATCACATATAGTCTCAAATGCATATAGCAACATGAGAAGAGCTCTGCTAGAAACAGTCCTCTCTTCACACTAATGCTTTTAACAGAGGCCCACCTAAAGCCCTTGGGAAACTGAAAAGTAGAATTGGTGTTGGGCCCTTACTCTCTCAAACCAGGTAACAGGCACTGAGCACCTGTATCAAGGTAAGGGAGGTCTTGCAATGAACTTGGCTCCACAAATGCAGCTTTGTTCCAAATGCATCCTTCTGTTCCACATTCTGAACCCAACAGGTGTGCAAGGGCCGTATCAGCACTTGCAGGCTTCCAGACAAGGGCTTTCCTCCACTTTCTGCCTGCATGTGGAAAGAATCAGTACATAGGTTGATATTCAAAACCAGACTTTTAATTAGACATTTAGATTTCTTACAAGATAGTACTGTCATCTGTAGCCCCTCAAGAGTTAAAAAAATCTAATCTGAAAATACACATTAAATGTGTGTTTAAATGAATATATACACTCATTTAAAATCTGTCACACACAGCCCAGTTTACCCTCTTCCAAAGGCAGCATTGCCTTACACCCTGGGTTGGGTCCTGTGCTAAAGTAACTTCTTGCCCAGCAGATTCCATCTCTGATGGCTTCTATGGAAACAGGATCAAGCAGAAAGTGGTGGGAAGTCTCTGCTTCAGACCCAGTTGCAAGCAACCGGCTTTCCCCAGTGTGGTGCCATTCAGATGTGTTGGACTAATTATGATGGCAGCTGCTGGTTCAAACACCTGGAGAAGATTGCAGTAGACAACCTTGGCTAATTCTCTGAGCCAATGAATGACAGCTTCATTCCAGCTCGCTCGCTCGCTCTCTCTCTCTCTCTCTCTCTCTCTCATGACTCAAACTAAATTGCAAGTACACACACTTCATTAATAAGGGCAAAAAGTTTCCAGAAGGACTTTCAGGGTGAGTCTGAATCAACAGCACATTTGCTTATTATTTATTTGCTTATTATTTATTATTTCAATTTATATCCTGCCTTTTTCCTACAAAGGGCTCAAGGCAGCTTACATCATTCTCCTCCTCCATTTTATCCCCACAACAACAACCCTATGAGGTTGAAAGTCTGTGACTGGCCCAAAGTCACCCAGTTGGCTTAATGGCTGAGCGGGGACTAGAACCCAGATCGTCTGAGTCCCAGTCCCATGCTCTTAACCACTACACCACACTGGTTCTCACTGCTTTTGATCTGGAACTGGCAGTATCAATTTTCACTGTCTTGACTTAGTCTGAAAGTCTGAAATGCACTAGTTTTATGCGCAAAACTTCCAAGAAATAAGCATGTGTTCTGGCTCACATGCCATTCTGTTCTGTTTGTAACTTGGTTTAGCCTGATTTACCATAATTCCTCAGAGCAGCTAGCAAGAGGATGCAGTAGTACCATTTGGCAACCAGCACTCTTTGAAGTGGTTTCAGAAAGGCCTGTGCACATAAACAGATTCTCTCAGTCTGAATCACAGAGTCTAATGTAGGTGCACAATACTTTGCTTTCACAGGCAAGAGGAGAATCACTTCGTTCTTTTGATGCCATTGTAATTGGTGGGCTCTCAGCTGTTCTTGTTCAGATCAAATCAGGATTCACCAATTCAGAATTTATAAGAGAGAATTAAACTGTCTATCCAGCCTTCCCCAACCAGATGCCTGTTGGACATTTGCTGGCTGAAGGATACATCTGGAAGGTACCAATTCAAGGAAGGGTGCTGTAATTATTTTAGATAAAGCTGCATTTGATAGGGATGATACCTGAATGCCACTCAAAAGGGAAAAAAGATGAAAAAATTATTTCATTCTAGTGCAAGTTGAAACAACTCTGGTTTGAGAGAGCTGGAACAAATGCACCTCAGGACACTGCATTGTTGTCAGATGGACTCTACAGTCTTACTTCCTACAGGCAGATCTACTCTGCTGGTGGGAGGTATGGCTTAGATGATCCAGCTCAAATCGGCTGCAAGCAGCTGTTAACCATCAGCAGGTTTCCTTTTGCCTTGCCTTCCTTTTCCATAAGCCCGATTCTCAAACTGACAGTGATCAGAGGATGTCTGTCAGAACCAATAAACTCAGCTTCTCAACCCTCCTGTGCCAGGGAGAGTGACACTCAAGCAATGTGTCTATTGCTGACTGATTTCTAAGGCTAAGCAGATTGTATTAGTTACCCCAATAGCTTCCCTGCATTGCAACAGATGGAGTCAGAGATATTCATGTACTGTGAGTTTTTCCATTATATCAATTGTTATATCAAATGCTTTTAAACTACACTGCTTTGTAGCGACTGTAGAAGCATATATTTATTGGATTTTTAATCCACTCACCAACAAATGGTTGAAAGAATACAGTGCAATTCCCAAAGTTGGAAGAATACAGTGCAATGCTAGAAAATATAGTGAGCACAATGGGATATGAGATCAGCTATAAAATCTAAAATACCAATTCTCTAAAATGTCAGAGGAAAAAATAAAAGTTTGTCTCCTGACACCTAATGGTTAACAGAGTCAGTACTATATGGGTCTCCTTGCGGGTAAATGAACAGGAAGCCACAACTAAGAGGGGCCTCCCAATTGTAACCACTTGGCTAACTTATTTCCATGGGGGGACCTGGAAGTAATGACTAACTGTGTAACTGTTGGTGGCCAATGGGAGGACCAATGCCTGTAAGACTGTGAATCTCAAGGGTTACTGAGAGCCTCGTGGCGTTGTGCTACCTGCATCATCAGATCCAGCTCCCAAGAGGGTTCCTGTACCTTCCTCATTAAAAAAGGGACAGGGGAATACTACTAGCTATAGCTTTTTCTGCCATCATAAGCATGGTATGGGAAAAGACAGACCTGGTGCTATTTTTCATTCACTGTGACTTCCAAAAGGTAACAGAGCCTGCTCAGGAGCTGGAACTGGCAATTCTGAAAATTTATTTCATATTTAGAAAGATAAATGCATGATGTACATAGGAGTAAAAGGCTGCAACTCAGTGCCTCATAATACATAGCAAAATAGCAGAAGAACAAGCAGGGTTCTGATTCCTCCTCCCAGCACTTTTGCCTGCCCTGCTTATGTGCAGCACACACTTCTGCTAGACAGCCTGAAATATAAAACACACTTGCCTTGCCTTGCCTTTCCATTGATCCCTGTTTCCGCTTTTTCCAACATGTTCTTTGGCCCTCATATGCTGAGGCTAAATAAAAACTACTGTGTACAAACAAAGTGATTTTAGATCCTGTTGAGTAGAGAATATTATACAAACCAGAACAACAGTGGCTGGCTGTGATTAATCATGAATAGAAAAGGATGCTGCTCTGTTTGGTTGAGATGTTACTGATAGACTACTTTAAATTCTGGTGGAATATAATGTGAATGGACATGTTTAATATCCCTTCCCTCCATCTTAATACCATGAATATGCAATTTCACTGATTTCAAGAGTGTGATGCTATGGCCCCAAGATAGCATCTAGGGGGCCTTTTTTTAAAAATCCCAACTCTGATACTGGAGCTGGCCTCCTGCTCTCCCAAGTCCCTTGCTGCTGTCACAGAAAAAGCATGGCAAGTGGTTCTCCAAGAGGATACAGGGGCCTCAGAGAAAGGAAGGGAAGTTGTGGAAGTTCATATGGAAAGTAGGCAGTCTATGAGATAACATACATAGAAACAGAGTGAGTCAGAAGGGGCCTACCGGGCCATCTAGTCTAACCCCCAGCTCCAGCCAGCACCGCTCATGACATGCCCACCATGTGCATGTCTAGATTATCTTTGAACACTCTCACTGATGGGGCCTCAACAACCTCTCGTGGAAGCCCATTCCACACCTTCGGGGTCCTAACTGTCAGGAAGTGCTTCCTGGCATCTAAATGGAACCTTGGCTCCCTGAGCTTTGCTCCATCACAGCGTGTCCTGCCTTCCTCTGCAGGGGAGAACAGGTCTCTACCCAACTCCGTGTGACACCCCCTCACATACCTGTATGTCGCGAACAGATCCCCTCTGAGTCTCCTCTTCTCCAGGCTAAACAGACCCAATTCCTCCAGTCTTGCCTCATACGGCATCCCCTGCAAACCGGCCACCAACCTTGTGGCCCTACCCTGCACTGACTCTAGCATTACAGGCTATATCCTTCCCGTAATGAGGGGCCCAAACTGAGCACAATGCTCCAGTTGCGGGCACACCAGAGTCATATAGAGTGGTAGTAATACCTCTCTCGATCTAGAAGCCACACTTCTGGCTATGCAACCAGATGTTTGCCCTCTTGACCACCACATCACACTGCTGACTCAATTTTAGCCTGCAGTCAACCAGCACCCCCAGGACCCTTTCACAAGTGCTGCTCTCCAGCCACTTGTCACCTAACCTGTACTTATGACAGCTATTCCTATGCCCCAAGTGCAAGACCTTGCACTTATCCACATTGAACGCCATCCTGTTGTCTCTTGCCCACTTCCATAGTCTGTCCAGATCCTTTTGGATCTGGAGTACCTGCCCCTCAGTTGTGGTCACTGCTCCAGTTTTAGTATTGTCTGCAAATTTGATTAGCAGACTGTTCACCCCTTCCTCCATGTCACTGGTGAAAAGATTAAACAGGACCGGCCCCAGGACAGAGCCCTGGGGGACCCCGCTTGTCACTGGCCACCATCCTGATGATTCCCCGCTAATGGTTACCCTCTGCTTTCGGTCAGTCAACCATGCCCTAATCCATCGGACAGTGCTTTGGTGTATCCCAAAGCTCCTCAGGTTCTCCACCAGGATATCATGGGGCACTTTGTCAAAGGCCTTGCTGAAATCCAGGTAAACCACATCCACTGCATCCCCTCCATCTAGCCATCTCGAAACCTTGTTGTAGAATTCCACAAGGTTTGTCTGGCAGGACCTGTTTTTGTGGAAGCTGTGTTGTGTGGCTGCCAGCCCCCCTTCCCTATCTTGCATCTGGCATGGAACTTCACCCGTTCTCCACAAAGCCTCAAAAATGGAGGCCAGTGGGTGTGAGAGAACCCCTGTCAACTCGTCAGGGCCTGGCACCTATGTAATGTCCAATGCCCTGAGGAGCCCCTCGACTTCAAGGGAGGTGACTCTAATCTGTGCACCTAGGTCCCCGGCCTGATCTAATCTCCTATGCGGATCTCCCCCGTCCTGCTTTGGGGAGAACACAGAGGCAAAATAGTCATTTAGCATCTGTGCCTGTTCCCTCATATCAGTCACTGGATCTCCTTCCTCCTTATTTAGTGGTCCCACTACTTGTCTCCCCTTCCTTTTCCTATTTACATGCTGAAAGAAGCCCTTTTTGTTGCTCTTGCTATCCTTGGCAGGTCTCAGCTCGTAATCAGACTTAGCCCTGCGAAGAATCCTTCTGCAAAGGGCCTCCTCCTCCCGGTATACCCTTTTGTCTATTTGTCCCAATTCCCATTTCCCACGGAGGGTCCTCTTTCATCTAATCCCTCTAATCACCTCCTTTCCCTTCCATGGCGGTGCTCTCCTCTTTGGTAGGCTCTCCTCTGCCTACCCACCTTACTAACTAGAGGTATCATTAAGGCTTGCACCTCCAAAACCTCCGTTTTGAGTGCCATCCACCCCTTCTCAACTCATTTAACTTCCAGTAACCTATCCCAGGAGTCTTTCCCCAGTCTGGCCTTCAGTTGGCCAAAGTTGGCCCTCTTGAAGTCGCAGCTTCTAGTGCTTGTCCTGCTGCACGTCCCGAGTCCCCTGATCTCAAAGAAAAGGATGGAGTGATCACTCGCATCCAGAGCTCCCCTAATCTGTACTTCCTCTATCAGCTCCTCCCTATTGGTCAAGACCAAGTCAAGGATGTCCCCCCCCCCCCACCATCGCCTCTCAGACCCTCTGTGTGAAAAACCCTCCCTCTATAGTTTCTATGAAGCAATGTGACCTGACCTGCTGAATGAGTCTCCCAACTAATATCCGGGAGATTGAAATCTCCCATAATTATTGTGTCTCTCCCCGGTGATACCCTTAGAATCTCGTCTGTCAGGACATCCTCCAGGGTCTCAAGTTGACCTGGAGGGTGATAACATACCCCCACTGTCAGGTCTCTTTCCCTGTCAAAACACCTAAGTTTCACCCAGATTGCCTGTACCAAATCCCCATCTGTGCTGCATTCTATCTCACTGCATCCTCTCCCTTCACTGACATATAAAGCCATGCCGCACCCCCTCCTGTCCTTTCTAAAATGGTGTAAACCCTCTATGTTCACATTCCAGTCTTGCCTTTCATCCCATCAAGTTTCTCTGATTCCCACCAGATCATACCCTCCTATTCCCAGGAGAGCTTCAAGCTCTTCTTGCTTATTACCATGCTCCTAGCATTAGTCTACATGCACCTCAACTCCTTCCCACCCCTTCCTTTCTTTGGAGTCCCCAGCCTCCTCCTCCCTCCCATCCTCCCTGATACCTGGCCCCTCTCTGTAGGAGTCCTGTCAGTCCCTGCAGTACCTCAAAAACCCTCCTCCCAGAGCTCTGATCCTCTCCCCACACTTGTCCAGTGCAGACACGTTTCTGGGGGGCCTGAACCCCCCCCCCGGCTCAGTTTAAATTCCTCCAGACGAAGCTTGCTAGAGCATCTCCAAAGGACCTTTTCCCCATCCTCGTGAGGTGTAACCTGTCCCTTGTCAGAAGTCCATTGGCAAGAAAATGAGTGCCGTGGTCGAGGAACCCGAAGTGTTCCTTCTGGCACCTCACCCTAAGCCAGTCGTTCACCTTGGCGACCCTCCTGTCCCTGCCTGGCCCAAATCCCCGGACTGGTAAGATCGATGAGAAGGCCACTTGGGCCTTTAGCTCCGTGAGTTTCTTCCCCAAGGCCTCGAAGTCCCTGGTGATCCCGACCACACCTTGCCTGGCTACGTCATTTGTGCCCACATGGATCACCAGAAGCGGCTGGTGACCCCTGGAGCGAACAAGACGCTCCGCTTTGTCCTTCATATGCCGGATGCATGTGCCTGGCAGGCAGCAAACCTCCCTCGTCTCAAGGTTGGTTCTAGGATGTCCGCTTGCATGTCACTCAAAAAGAGAATGGCAGAGGATACAGGTTGGCATGCAATTTACATATGCTAATTTATACATATGGGTGCCAATTTAGAAATAGTTGCTATAATTTTACATAAAACTACAATTCAATAAAAATATACTTCACCATATTAGGAAAGACTGTGACAGGATTACCTGTATGGCTTCTCGGTCTGCTGCCCAGGCAGTAGGCATTGATGCCAGATTCCAGGTCCCCGCCATTTCCTTCCATTGGTTGATCAGATGCAAAACAGATTTGAAATGGATAGTCCTTCAAACAGAAGAGGGCAACTTCAAATAGAGAACTACCATCTGTAAAGCAGGACATATGGACAATCTCTTTGTCATTTTTAATCATACAGGGTAAACTATCAGGAAAAAGGGGTGAACTTTGCTCAGTAGAGGCACTCATATCATTGAACACTGGTGAGATAGATTGGTCTAAGAATTGCAAAAGAAGGCAGTACAAGATCTCTGGTTGTTACTACCCACATGAACAAAAGATGTGAGAACCCCAGGACAACATGAGTGGACCATCAGCAAAAGTACCGCTCCCTCCCAGTCAAGTGGCAAACTTTCATCCAAGTTAACAGATTTCCCAAACCACGGTTTTTCCACTTTGTCTGAGTCCAGCTTCAGGATATTTTCCCTCATTTGCCCTTATCCTTTCTTGTTAAGAAATTGATCCAGTATCTCACTGTGCTTGATGACTCACAGCCTGTAAGATTACATATGTTATACCTATCAAAATCAAAACAATTTCAAATTTTAAATTTGGAGGTACAATTTCACATTCAACCTTTCAATTTCAATATGAAAGTTTATGTTCTATACTGGAATGACAAAATTTGAAGTTCTGGAAAATGCTTGTTTAGTTAGCTCTTCTGAAAATCTCTTTGATAAGTGCAAAATTGATTCATTTTTAAGGTAAGTTTAGCAAGATGCAAACAGCCTAAAAGGTATCTGCCATAATTAGATACCAGAAACCTGAAACCTTTCATACCAGCCCATCTCCATTTCATTTCTATATTGATGGAATTAAAGATCATTTCTAAATTGGAATTCCAACAGTGGTTAGAAATACCTTATCATATGAATTGGTCACTGGATTCAGGTTTATTTAATGCTTTTAGACTGTCCATCTACTGGCATCTTGGTAGCTTTCATGTCAAGCTCAGGTTAGCAGCATTCAAGTAGCTTTTATTGGTGAAAAATATAAAGGTTTTAATTAATTGGTAAAGTGCTTGATTTTATACTGATGATATGGAATCAACAACTGCTCTTAAACAGATGAAACTTTGAGTTCCACAACTCCCTGTATTGTCCACTGATTTTCCCCATACAAGAAATTACTCACCAGATCCAAAAGTTCCACTTCATAAATTAAGCTGGTTACAGGTAATCTGAACTTATCTAGTTGCCAAATATGAAGAAGCTGAAGACTAAAGCATTTCTTCAATTATTTTACCTGATGCAGTATATGCAAAATCATCTGTAGGTTTGCTAATATAACAACTAACTAGTATTGTTCTATTTTCCACTATAAAGAAACCCTGTGGGCTACAATCAAGATGGAGACATGTCTTCGTAACACCTCCATATTTCCAAAATGGGGGGATGTCATGTTTATCTGCCTTTCTTATCCCCAACAGTTCAAGAAGCAGTCCCAGATGAAACCTGAAACTGTCACATCACCTGTTAGAGCCTTACTTGAATGTCTAGAGAAGCTTCCTCCCTATCCCATCTCCAGTTTGTGCTCATGAAAACTCCATGACTTCAACATCAAGTCATCTTCCCACCCCACTTCCTCCCCATCTGCTTTTTGTAACGTCTTACCTAATGAAGAGATGTAGTTGTTCAGAGCTTGCACATTTGATGCAACCCTTTTGTTAGCCAAACAAAGCCATCACTATAATGTGGATTTTTTTTATTTCCCCCACCCCAGTATTTTAGTGGCAATAGATGGCAGTAAACTCCTCAGCACTCCCCTCCAACAATGAGAAGTTGTAAGATAGCTTGGAGCCACACAGCAGCCTCTAAGGATTGATTGACAGGACAAGCATTCCTCACTTCTGCCTTGCTAAAGCAAAGAAGTAACAGTCTCAAAAAGAGTCACTCCAAACAGCTGGTTGCCTGCTCCTTAGGAAAGCCTTCCAGCTCCAATAAGTCTGTAAATTCAATACGACAGGAAATTTCTCTGTAGAAAAACATAGCCATTCCCGTAGTGGAGGCCCTGTAGTGTTAGGCTTGTAGCCCTGTCAAAAACATTCCAATCAATGAACCACAAAAGAGGAAGAGTCCTTGTTCTTAAAAGCACTGGGATAAAACTTGGGAGGCTTTGCTTGCATATCCCTTTACCTGGCTTCACTTGAGGGCTGAGTTGCATTCCAGCAACACAGAGAATATATTGGAAAAGCATTGTGCCTGAGCACCACCTGTGGTGTCCCCACTAATACATGTGAGTCATCACTGAATCTTGAAGATATCAAATGTTGGATGTGAACAAGGGAACCCTTGCACAGATGTATGATGAAAGGAATTACATCACTGCCAATGCTCCACAGAAACCTCTGCAAAGACTTTTTTTGGGGAGTGACTATTTGAATGGTCTCTTTACTGCTGAAGTACTACAGTGGTGCCTCAGTTCACAACCAAATCGGGTCGTGAACAAAAATTTCATAAAAAAATTGACTTGGGTTGTGAACTCCACAATGGGTGGCGACTGTGATTGTAGCCATCTCTCCACCACCCCACAAGTGAGGAGATGGCCATGAGCATGCTGGGGGTGGGGGCGGGGGAGATGGCCAAGATTGGGCCCATCTTTCCTGCACGAGCACGCCCGTGATTGGGCCCGTCTTTCCTGCAGGAGTGCAACTGTGATCTCGGCCATCTCCCCCCCACCAGCATGATCACGCCCGTCTCCCCCCTCCCCGAGTGCGCCCGCAATCGCACCCTTCTCTCCTCACAGCGTGCTGGGATGACAGGTGAGTGCAGGGATGATGGGCGCAATCGCAGTCGTGCTGGGGGGGCGGGGAGATGGCCGCGCTTGTGCTCGGGGTAGGTGGGGGAGATGGCCATGATCTTTGTTGTCACTTTGCTTCACACTTTTCTGATTAATCCATTCTGTAACGATTTTTTAAAATCTTATTTACATTGACCCTTATGGGGAAATTTAACTCGGCTCATGATCAATTTGGGTCGTGACCAGAGTCCTGGAACAGATTAAGTTCGTGAGCCAAGGTACCACTGCATTGGTTTACACCAATCAATGTATGATAGGAACAAACTTGTAGCTTAATGTTCACCCAGCAGAGTAGTCCCAGCACTAATTTTCTGCTTCTTTCCCTTGGCTGCTGCTTGATTGATAATTTAGTGAATAGCTATACCCATTTTGCTCTTCACAGAACTGGCCTGCCTAGTAATCTCTTCTTAAGTAGAGTAGGGACACAATCCTATGCATGTTTAGAGAGAGGGCTGGAGCCTTTAGCAGGAGAGAATGCCTTGCTCTCCGGTGTCCCAGCCAGCCAGCCAGTGAGAAGGTGCCAGAGGAGCTGGACACAGACTTTAGGGACTTGTGGAACAACCTGCTTAGGAAGCTGATGTCAGCAAGAACCCCTGGACAGGTACCCATGGGTCTGGGCATCTCCCAATTACTACCGCTTCCTAAGCCATTCTTGGAACTACTGAGCCATCCTGCAGCAGTAAAATGCAAGAACAGCAGCAGTGTCCAATAGGTTCATTCTCTGCCTCTTCTCAAAGCATTATAATTGAAAATAAAAAAGAAGAGCCCTGGTAACTAGAACTATCCCTGGTTGGAAATAGAGCTGCTTACCACAAGTCTACTCTGTACCTTCTCCTTTCCCCCTCCTTTTAGAGGTAGCTTGGGGAGAAATATAACAACTTTTGCAAACACATGGTGCCCCTCTGAATCCTCCTTGGAACTTTGGGAGAACCAACTTTGATTCAGGGCAATTTGGGGGGCTTTTGCTTCCCTCCAGACTAATTCCAAATCTGTCCAAATCAGTCCATTTTTGCCTGGGACTCATATGAATGTGACGTTGCCTCTGGGCAGAAGGATGTGCTTGAGCTCAGGACTCTTTTACATAGGACTAAGTCAACTTTCCCCAACTTAGCACCATTCAGATATTTTGGACTGCAATGCCCAGCATTCCACATCATTGGCCATGCTGGTTGGGCTCATGGGAACTGGAGTCCAAAATATCTGGAATGTACCAAGCTGGGGAAGGTTGCACTAAGCAACAGTTTGGTGTGATATCCAAATGCAGCTGCTGTGCATGTGCTTTTCTCTCCTTAGGAAAGTTTTGAAATACCATGTGAATAATTCAGAATGGTTCCACCCCTGCACATACAACACTGTATATTGAGCGTCCACAAATCAAAATATAACCCTGAAAATAAATGTGTACTTCCTCATTGCTGAATCATGGAGAGGAAAACTAAGACCCAAGTTTCCAAGGATGTTTAAAATATTTTCTGTGCTTTTGGGAACAGTTAAAATTAGGAACCAGTTTTGTCCATTTGTAGCTCACATGCTTTGCCTCCAAACACCCCTTTGTTTTTATTCTTAGATAATCAGTATGTTTTGTTGAAATACAAGCATATTTCCTAACACAGTTGGGGAGCATTTCATAATAGTGTTCATTCATTATATTAAAACACACACATCTCCAAAACACCGAAGACCAGCTTTCTTGCATCAGTTCAATGAATGCTTCAGAATTAAATAGCAGTCATGAGACGGCCAGCCTACACACAGAGGAAGTGGTTTCCTTGGGCTTGCCAGATTAAAGAGTGACATCACATTATCTTCGTCAATGCTGACTCCAGTTCTTCGATAACTGGCAAATATGGAAAATAGTGTTCTTGGTCAGACCCTCTTTCCACTCATAATTTCTTTTTATGCATACAGTCTAATCTCAACTCCTGTCCTCTTTGGAAATCCTGTAATAAACAATTGTCAGAACCCAAGCTCCGGATGTGAAAGGAACCGTAGAGCACCCGTTCACAGTTCAGAATGCCAGTTCACAACTCTCTTGTGGCTGGCTTATGCCACAGCTCACAGAAAATGGGAGAAACTAGTTATGGGTTTTCCCCATCCTCTAAAGAGAACAATGTGTGTGTTAATGCCTTTGACTGTGATTTCACACTTGTAGCTGTGGAAGTTGGGAAGTGAAACAAGAGGGGAGGGCATTGCATTCATGTAAATGTCCTTGCTGCCCCTGAAGTAGTAAGAAATATATGCTCTAAAGAGGTGAATTTTCCCTATTTCTTTATCTTTCTATTTTCAGAATGGCTCACTATTTCTTACATCGAACAATCCTATTTTAACAACGTTTGGAAATGGCATTATACTGTTAACCCACCACAAAAAAGTACTGTGATGAAGCATGGGGGCCATACATTTTCCACCATGTTTCAAATCACAGGAGAGCTACTTTATTTATTTATTTATTTATTTATTTATTTAATATTTTAATGTGCTGTCACCACATGCCTCAGCATCTCAGGACAGCTCACAAAGTACAATTAAAAACAACAAAACAATAACAAAATCTATAAAATTATATAAAAGCAAAAAAGCAATGGTTAACAATAAAATTAGTTTTTAAAATAGCAATTAAAAAGGTTTTAACCTGGTGCTGAAAAGAATATGAACTCGGCGCCAGGCGCACCTCTCCAGGGAGCACATTTGTGGTCAACTGTTCTACAAGCAGTTATTATTGCATCCACTTTTATAACTATTACACTATTAAACCTGGGGTGACCTGCAACTCCCAGCATCCCTTACTGTTGGCCAGGCTATAGGCCAAAACATAATGAGGGCCACATGGTTCCCACTGCTGCTGTAAACAATAAAATGGGTATTTTCTCAGCAATCTTTACAATAACCCTTTCAGGTAGGCCAATATTGTCCTTGTATTGCAGTGGGTGCCCTGAAAGAATATGCCTTTCCTACAGAATTCAAGGCTGACATATTTAAACTGAGGACTTTCTGAGTCACAGCTGTTGTGGCTGTACTTCTTCCCCTCCTCCCAAGCAGACCCAGACAATGGCTTTTCTAACTAAAAGGCGTTATTATGTTCAAGTGCTTAGCACCTGGACAGCAGATTAAGCTGTCACCTGAAATGGGTCACCTACAGTCTCACCTACCATGTATTTTTATTGCATATTTAATTAAAAGTATACTAAATCCTAAATTTGCCTCCATATGTATAATTAACACATGTCTGTTGTATGCAAATCAGTATCCACTTTTGTCATCTTTTTTAGTGATGCATAATTGGCCACCCTAGAACATGGTTATCTCAAGAAACCACCTGCTGCCTCAACTTTAAGGTCAGCTACAGAGACCCTGCTCTTTATAGGCCCCTTTCAGATGCAATTCTTGGGAGTTTGTTACAAAGGATAAGGTGTTCTCTGTGGCGATGCCACAGTTCAGGGACTTCTTCCAAATGGAGATTCACCAGGATCCATCTTCCTTGATCTCTCTTTCTCTCATTCTCGTTCTCTCTCTCTCTCTGCAGTAGATGAAAGCATTTTTTTCATAAGGTGGCTTTGAAGGCATTATCTTTGGGTTCTATTCTTTGCTGCTTTTCTTTATGTCTACTTGCTTTTATCTTCTGTCAGCATTGATAGCAATGTGGTTTAATTAATTTGCAATATGAATGTGTTGGTTTTATATTTTGTATTATGTTATTTTACGGTGTTTTTAATGGAATTCTTTTGTTTTTAGTAAATATTAGCTAAAGCAGAAATGTTGATCCTTGGACCTGCACTCCAAATCTGGCCCTCAGCATCCCAGTCTGACCTTCCATGGTTGCCCAGATGATCATGCCCCTTTCCCTGCCCGCATCCACCTTCCCTGCCTGCCAGTGCTTTGATGGTTTCCCAGCTTTCCTCCCTCATTCTAAAAAGCTGAAATGCCTTTCCTGAGGCTTAGCTACTGTTCATATGAGTTTTAAGCTAAAGTAGGCTGATACTATTGGTATTTGGGGAGGGGGGAGTATGATCTTTGCATTCACCTTGCCCCCCCCCCCCCCCCCCGGATTGCAGCACCCAAGAGCTTCTCTGAAACTGAATGTGGTCCTTTGGCAGAAAAGGGTTCCCCATGCCTGGACTGGGCCAAATCTCATTTCATTTTGCAGGCCCATGCCATATGGTATCCTAATATGACCTACAGCACTCCCTTAGAAGCTCACTTGTATGTTTTTAAGCTTCCCATGGAGCACTGTGGAAGAAACAGGTATCTTTTGGAGGGTTTTCCTTACAATAAATCCAGCAAAGTAATTTACTTGGACTACAGGCAAACTTTAACAGTATGCTCTGTTGCTCCATTGAAGTTCATGCACCAGAGCTTCCTGAGGTGACAGAAACGGTGGTCTTCCTGTTGAGCTCCCCAAGCAAATTCAAAAGCCCACAGAGCTGTGACTGGTAGCTTAGATTTATTGGTATCAGACAAATGAGAGAGTTCACTAGGGAGTCAAATGAAACACAGTGTATTGGATATGTTAACCACTTGTAAGCATCAACTTTTGATGTTAGATATTACATTATTGCTAGACCTTGACATAATCTTTTATCCTTATCTCTGATATTTATTTTTGCCTCCTTTATGCAGCTAGAAAGAGGATTCTTGATTGTGTTTAAATGTTGTGCTCA